GGTCTCCGGCGTTGACTTTTCGTTTTTGTTTTTTTTTTTCCTTTCTGTAACATTTTTTTTCCGTTTAAACAACAATATTGCTGTGATTGACAGTAATATTAACAATATTACTGTTAATCACAACAAAAATAACTACTACAGTTTAATACAGTAATATTGCTATATTCATCTCTAGCAGAGAAATATTAACACAATTAAACTCATTATTATTGTGTAATAGAGTAATATTACTATGTTGACCGTTCAACAAATGTAAACATAATAAAAAGCCAAAAGAATGAATATTACTGTGAGTGACAGTAATATTACGATAACAACAGTAATATTACCGTCAACAACATTAATATTAAAATAATAGACAGTAATATTATTACGTTACTCCGTGAATAACTCAAACAAACAAAAAAATCCAAACAAAATAATAATATTTGATGTGGTTGACAGCAATATTACTATAACAACAGTAATATTACCGTCAACCACAGTAATATTATTGTGTTTACAGTAATATTACAATAATAGACAATAATATTATTACGTTACTCCGTGAATAACTCAAACAAAACAAAAAACCCAAAAAAATAATAATTTTGATGTTGTTGACAGTAATATTATTGTGTTTACAGTTATTTTACTGTCAACGACGGTAATATAATTACGTTGACTCGTCAACAAATCAAACAAAAAAAAATAATAATAATAATATTACGTTAATTTACTGTCAACGGTAGAACAATTACATAAATGTATTGTCAACGGGAGTACAGTTACGTTAATTAACTGTCATTATAGAATAATTACGTTAATTTACTATCAGTGACAGCACAATTACGGTTAACGTTTAGCGGATGACGTAAAAAAAAACAAACAAAACAAAAACAAAAAGAAAAAAAACACTAAAAAAAGTCAACGCCGGAGACTAGCGAAAAAATCCCGAAGAAAAAAAATTTCGAAAAGTCAACGCCGGAATCCGGCGGCAAAAAAAAAGATTTTGAAAAATAAAAATAGTTTTTGAAAAAAAAAGTCAAAATTGGATTTTTGTGGACAAAATTGATTAAATTGGGGTTACAATTAAGAATTGAATATAAAGGGTTGGGGCTAATATTTGCATATACATGAATGTTTCCTTTATTTATAATAAATATTAAATGGATGGGCTTATTGGTGAAAGAGATATAGCCCCTAAACCTAGAATAATAAAGATGCTTAGTTGGGGACTTATGCACAAAAACCCCTATTATTAATTAATTAGATTAGTATAATTAGGTTTATATATGGCGTGTGTTAGTGGTTATGATATATATTAAGTATTTTCTTAGTATAGATAATTACCTTTCCTAGTTAGATTATGATTCTAGGGGTTTTCTTATCTTTAAATAGTCGTATTGTGCAAGATTTTTTTAATGTAGAGAAATAATAAAGAAGAGTTTTCTTACGTTTCGTAAAGAAATTTTATGATTCCCAAAAGTATCAATCGATTAACATGAGATACATAAAGGTAGTCTCAAAAAATCATAAATGACAATCCTTACCTTCAAATTATGTTTTGTACTTTCAATGATTTATAGGCAGTCATGATTACTATGTATTGAATAGATGATGTCTCATTAGTTTTGTCTTCATGGCATTTTTGAAATTACAAACAATTGTGTTTAATATTGTATCCCTGCACAAGTAGCCAAGTACTTTGCAGTTATGCTCATATTCAATCATTTTCTTTTTGCCTTAAAAAGTTGATCGATTTTGTAGTTTCAGCAAACAAACTATTTTTGGTAGCTATGTTTATGAACAAATTTGATATGTTTGTTTTTTCTGATTTTTTTGTCCGGCTAGATTTCATACTTGACCGTGGGTCTTTGGCTTTGACTTTTGTGGTTATGTGTGGTTGTTAAGAATGTGGCTCGAAGAAATGAATGGTCGTGCTCCCTCTGTGATTATTAATGATAAAGAAAAATCTACCCGAGCAGCAATTTTAGAGGTACTACCAAGTACAACTCATCGTTTGTGTATGTGGCATATTTTGCAAAAAAGTTCCAGAACATTTATCTCATGTTTTTAATAAACATACTTCTTTTCAAAGATAATTTCACCATTGTATTCACGAAACAATGATAATTGAAGAGTTTGAACATGAATGGGCGAAATTGATTCAAAAGTATGAGTTGCAGGAGAATAATTGGCTAACAAAGTTATATGGGCAGCGAGAGCAGTGGATTCCAGCATATTTACGAGGTGCATTTTGTGCTGGCATGTCAACAACCCAAAGAAGTGAGAGTATGAATAAAATTTTCAAGGGGTTCGGGCGTTCAAGTACATTAGTGAGTGACTTTGTCCATCAATATGAGAAATTATTAAATTCAAGATATATTAAAGAGAAAGAAAAAGATTTGAAGACAAACAACACTAAACCACGTTTGAAGACATGCTATAAAATTGAAGCAGAAGCAGCTGAGATCTATACCAGAAAATTATTTTTGATGTTTCAGGAAGAATTTTATTCAAGTAAAAAATACATGTCATCTAAACATAGACAAGATGGGTCCAAAAAATATTACTTTGTGATGTCAATTGAAGAGGAGAAGCCAGTTTAGGAAGTGGTCTTTGACATATTTGAAAAGAATGTTGTATGCTCGTGTCACGTATTTGAATTTGTTGGAATTCTTTGTAGACATATTCTTGCAATTTTCGTTAAAAAAAATTCTCATCAATTCTTTGCCGCACCAATATGTTCTACAAAGATGGACGATAAATGCCAAGTCATGTGCCTTACAAGATAATGTTGGTGGGTTGGTACAAGAAGATCCTTAAGTTTCTTCTTTATTGAGAAGAAATAATCTTATGATACGTTGTTTAGAAGTTGTTGAAGAAGGACAAAAATCACAAAAAAAAAAAACACGATTATCTTGCACTTGCCCTACAGAAGACTTATTCTGAACTTTTTGAGCTGGATAATGAGAGTGATGGAAGTCGACTTCAAGATGACTCGGCTTATGAAAAACAACTTGGTAATTGCGAACAAGTCGAATATATCTGTCACGTTGTTAGACCTGCCACATGTTTATTCTAAGGGACGACCTAAGTCTTTGAGGCAAAAACATCCCATGGAAACTCATGTAAACAAAAAAAAGAAATGCAGCATTTGTAAGCAAACTGGACATATCAAGACTAGTTGTTCGTCACAGAACAAGAATCATTGGAAACTTCTTAGTTCTACATGTTTTAATTTTTTTTTTTTACATGCTTCAAATCAGTGTGCACAAAATAAATTTTATTTTTTCTTTTTGCTCAAATATAAATATATTGATCAAAGAAGTTAGAAAATATTATTGACGACATAATAAAAGTCACTACAATGAGCACAAGATTAGCCTATGAAGATGAAAAAAATCAAAATATTGTTAAGAACTTCAGCGGAGATACAGGTAAGAAAATTGAAACAAGTACAAAGATGAACGGTGTTGTGAATTGATGAGTAAGTCATGTAACCCGTCTCACTACTCTAAATCAGGTTGAAAACCTTCGAACTTTATTCCATCAGACTCACTTAGATTATCTTTCAACAAATTAATTGATGATGCATTTGTTTCTTCAGCCCAACTTAGAACTTTTACCAAACACCTTATGTGCAGTTTCAGTAAATGAGTGTTTCAAAGAAAAGCATTTCTTAAATTTTCAGCAAAATATATTCAATATTTAATTCAAATTAAAGAAAAAAAAAGTTAAATAAAAAATATGGTAAAACAAAAAGAGAAAAAATACAGGTCATGGTCTGATAGGTAGTAGAAGATAGGATGTTCGTGGAAAAAGACAAGAAATAATTGACTCTATCATACCCACCCACCGTGTTCAACCATAATTTAAGGGGGTTTCTTTCTTTTAAAAGTGGTCCCACAAAGAAAGAATAATAAACCCAATATTTCATTAATCCTAATGTTCTTCAAGTGGCGTGTTGCAATTGGTGTCTGTTTTTTTAGCATTAATGGGGCGTCCGCTACAAATTTGCTCCCTTATTTTATTTATTTATTTTTTATCTCCCTAAATTACTATGTTAACAACAAAATTATAGTCTGTGGCAGTAATATTGAATGCCAAAACAGTAATATTACAAATATTACTGTCCAAAAAAAAAAGTCAACGCCCGCTGACTGGTAGTGGTGGTCAAAATTGGGATAAAGGTCAAAATTTGCTAATGGGTGAAATTGAGCCAAATTGGGGTGTAAATTATGAGATTGGAGTTGAATTATGGTTTCAAGGAGTTGGGGGTAATTTTGGTATATATGATTTTTTTTCCTTATTAGCAAATAAATTTGAATTAGGTGGATATATTTTGAAGATAAAAAAATAGGATGTCCCTTTTTTAATTTAGAGCCCTTGTCATCGGCATATTTGTCATATATATATATATATATATATATATATATATATATATATATATATATATATATATATATATATATATATATATATATTAAAGTTAATGATATATACCTAAATCTAAAATTGTATGGGCTGTTGAATTCAAAAGAAAGGGAAAATTGAATCTGATACTCAACCATTAATGTCACTCATGTCATCATCCTAATGGATTGTGTAATAAATAGTCACGTTATTCCTTCCATGTCAGAGGTTTTCAGGTGAGCGCGTTTCCCCTGGGCCCCTGCAACAGTTGTTGCGAATCCTCATTCTACACATGTCAGTTACACCGAGTAATAAAAACCATCGAGTTTCTTGAAGATTGACACAAACTCCAAGGATAAATGTGTCAAAATTACTTCTACCCACTCTAAAGAACCGTTTTCTCCATATTACTCTAATTGGTCCTGATAATTAAGCCGTTCTCTCGTCAAAACCTTCACCCTCATCAATACACAATACACAAACAAAGAGAAGAAAGGGGAAAAAAGAACACCATTTTCAAAATCATTTATTAGGGATCTAAGTAATTTTATTTTTCTCTGTATTTTCATCATTTTCTTGTTTTTAATTATTTCGTTAAAAAAATGGCTCGCGTGAGTAATGGGATGATCGCAGCACTGAACATCTTGACCCTTGTGATGGCGATTTCTGCCATTGGGTATTCCCTTTGGTTTAACGTAAAACCGGAAAATCCATGCCAAAAGGTTCTGAAAACGCCTCTACTCGTGGTGGGCGGTGCACTTATGGTGGTTTCTCTGGCGGGGCTGGTGGGGTCTTGCTGCCGCATATCTATACTATTATGGATGTATCTATTTGTGTTGTTTCTACTCATTATTTGCCTCATTTGTTTTACGGTTTTCACCATAATCGTAACGAATAAAGGTGTTGGAATAGCGTTGTCTCGCAGAGGTGTGGGAGATCACAGGCTTGGGGACTACTCAGGATGGCTTCAGAAGTATGTGATTAATGCACAAAATTGGGATGAGATTAAAAGTTGTTTGGTTGACGTCAAATTATGCGCAAATATTCATGCTGGAAAGGTCGAAGACTTTTACAAACATAATGTATCCCCTATTCTGGTACGCTGCTGCTTTTTCTCTCTCTTCCTTGCTTTTTTTTCTTTCTTTTTCTTTTGTTCTATTATCGAGTCAACGTTATCTATCATAAATCTATTGGAAGTATTTCATTAATATTGGCATTGATTTTGGTGTTCATTACTTGTTCAAAAAATTAAACCAATATGCATTTTTTGAAAATAGGTAAGAACTAATAAGTAGGGAGGTTTATTTATTTATTTATAAGTGTTATATTTTTTACCAATATTTGTTTGGGCTAAATGCAAAAACACCCCTGTACTATGAACTTTGTATTATATATCCCATGTACTACACGTAAATACAAATGCCCCCCTACTGTTACATTTTTTTCCAAAATATGACGAAAATACCCCTGCTAAAGCGTATATATATATATATATATATATGTATATATATATATATATATATATATATATATATATATATATATATATATATATATATATATATATATATATATATATATATATATATATATATATATATATATATATATATATATATATATATATATATATATATATATATATATATATATATATATATATATATATATATATATATATATATATATATATATATATATATATATATATATATATATATATATATATATAAATATATATATATATAAATATAAATATAAAAAAAAAAAAAAAAAAAAAAAAAAAAAAATAATTTTGTAAAAATAAAAAAAAAAAAAAAAAT